GGGGGGTTGTATAAAGAAATGTCTTTTGTTTCTTTAGTTTGACTGGTTTTGTTTACTTGCTTGTTTTTGTGCTTTTTAAAAAAAAAAAGATAGGAAGGGGAGGGGAGGGGGTATTGCTATTAGATTGTGTTAAGTATTTAATAATAATGATAAATATTTTCAGCAAAAAAAGTACAGCGTTTTAGTGTACAAACAATGTATAAATAGAATAAAATTTTAAAAAGGAGGTACGGGTGAAATGATGGGCTACAAAAGCACTGGTGCAATGACCTAATAATAACATCCCTCAGATGAATATTCGCCCCCCCAAACCCTATACATCGTCTGCTTGAATTAGTAATATGTTAGATGCTGGATACATGAACGTAAAGAGTGTCCTTCTGAGACCTACTAAAACCCGAAACGTTTGTAGATGAGGTTTACATATGATGTACTTCCAAACATTAATATAACTACCAAAGGGTCGGCATAGTGAAATTTCACATGTTCTTCCTATGCATAATTCTCATACCAAGCAGACGCACAATCAGTATGAACATAAGACAAAACATTACTTGAGCCTATTACCTCTCATCTCCTTAAGCCACCTCCACCCATTCCCCTTCCTCACTTCACTTCTTTAGGTTATCCCAGATTTTGAAGTTCAGATCCTGTAACTTTCAAGATTCAAATTAAAAGCCCGATTTGATTACAATTTTTTTCCAGAGCCATTTTCAGGATGGTAATTTACTTTGGATGTGCAAGGGTGGGAATTGTAAGATCCTGAGTGATCTCATTTAGCTTGATAAGACTCCTTTTAAGCTAAATTTTGATACTCCCTCTCCTCCTCCCCACCTCTCCCCTCCCCACCTCTCCCCTCCCCAACCATTTTGAATATTATTGGTGGGTATATTCCAACTCGCTGGAACTGGGGCAGGGAGGAATGCAAAGCACCAGCAGAGAGACCGAGATAGTCAATTCAAATTTTCTTCATTTGAGAATCGAACTCAGGTCTCCTGCGTGCGACAGCAAAGCGCCTGTACGCTACACTACAGACGCCAGTTTGCCATACTTTAAGATAATACGTCATTGCATTTGTCAATAAAATAGAAAAGGCGCCAAGACGAACCATTCGTAATAATGAGTACTTTTCTTTTTTTTTTAAAGGAATTTGGGAAGAGAAATAGATTTCTTTGCCCATACCAGCTTGTCGGAACGTGCAAATTCTGTAACGAGCTAATAAATTGGAACCTACGGCGATGTGCATCTGAAGGCAACGTGAAAATTCTGTAACGAGCTATTTAATGGGGACAAGAGCATCATCGCCGAATGTATTCGTAAAAGAAGATGCCTCTGACAGAAATAAAACAGTCTGAATTCTCTATAGCGGAATAAAGACTTGTGTGGGCATGTCTGCAAAACGGCTAGATAATACTGCAGATAGAACGCTTTTTTTCTGTGAATATTGCCAGTGCTGTGCGTCTGTTACTTTTAGAACACGAACTGTAAACGTGAATGTGGATAACACGTTTTAGAGATAATGTAACTAACGTGCCGTATCTTGAAATGTTGTTTAAGAGAGAAAGTAAGATAAAGTGCCACATGTTGAAATTGTGTTTAAGAGATTTTATAACTACAGTGCTATATCTTGAAAGTAATGAAAGTTTATTTTTAAAGATGGAAAGTAACTAAAGTGTTATATCTTGAAATCACAGTTCAGAACTTACCTTGTCCCTTCGAAAAGGCAGAAAGAATTCACAACATGGCACCAGTTACCAAGATATCAGTTCCGTGACTAATGAATACATTATGCTGCATTCTGGCGTTCCGCAGAAAACGTTCTTTATCTCTCACTGAGTGGATTGAAACGAAAGGAAGCAGATAAAGAACACTGCTGTGATGCAGAAAGCAGCCCGCTGGTAATAAGGTGGGTAGAACCAAACTTGCTTTAAATATGGTTCCAATTAGATTTTCGTAAAACCCCACAAAGAACCGAAACAAAACCTCCCGAAATAGCCCTCTGTTCTATCGACTGTACCCCCCTTCAAATTTATTTCTGGTTGATCTCTTCGACTGATTAGGAACGGTGCTCATCCTTCGTACAATGAATTGCCAAGAACAATACCTGGAAATAGCCTGAGGAGATCGCGCCAAAAATCAAGCAACTCCTGTCGACGAATGCCGTAGTGTTGTTGGCTATGCCTGATTTTCCAGTTGGCGATCCTCCTTCTAAGACGGACAGCGGCAGACAGATGGACGGTAGGCGTGCGCTGGGCAAATCAACACTTTTTGCAGGACTGCCAGTCTCTCTCCCTGCAGCTCAGAGCCGCTGAATACCTGGCCATTGCGCGTTTGACGACAGCTTAGCAGTTTTAGCGAAACCACGGCGCTCCCGCCGGCGAAAGAGTTCGTGGGGGGAGGTAAAAAAGGGTTCCAGTTCGCTGCGAGTACAAGATGAGAGGGGGGAAAAGTGCCGTTTGGAGATTGAGGGATTGGGGAGATGGGGGTGGGGGGTGG